GTAGATGAAATTGAAATGAATCTGAAAGTTAATAGACCACTTAGAAATAAAACATAGTTTCTAGACTAAAATGAAATCAAGGTGACAGTTAATAGATTAAAAATTAAATTAAGCCATAAAACAATAATAGAACGGCCCACTCCGGTCTAGTTGCATTGGATCCTGAGTTAGAGCTGTTCACTTTCGGTGGGTTGTACGTTCGAACCGCACAAAAACCTTTTCTCCCCTCCCCTAATTAACCCTGGTAAATAATTATAAATTGGTCAAAATAAATAAATAAATAAAACAATAATAAAATTAGTTGGCGTTTGCTAAACCCGTACACCTTAAGCATAATTCTTTACTCATGCAAGATTTATTAGCATTTTTTAACACCTTAATTGAATATTTGTAACTGTTTGTTTGTTTACCATATGCATTCCAAAACTAATGAGTATAACAGATTATGACATTCAAAATATGTTATTATCTTGTAAATTTTAGAGTTTAATAGATATATCTATGAGATACTTGAAAGATCAAATATTTTTAAAATTTAATCTCAACTTTTATAAATTCTATCTTTGTTTATTTTTAAATTGATGAGTTTGCCCAATTCGAGATGAGTAAAGAATGAATAATGATAGGAAGAGTGAAAATTTGAGATCAAAATTTGGGATTATAATATTATAAATCTTTAAAAAATTAAAAAAATAATTATTAAATAATATATAATTTATTTTTTAATATTTTAAATTATGTAAGTTGTGTTACATCATTAGTATCAAAATATTGAATTTTGATATTGTATATCATTATTAGTAAAGAACATGTAAGTGAGGAAGAGAAGTGAACCGGAAAATCCTTTGGGTTCTTCATATGGGCTGGGTCTGAAATTCTTGGCCTAAATATTGATTGTTTTGCACTCCACAAGATCTCTCGTTTATCTAATGTGGAATGCTTTACCTAGTCAGGCCACACAGGCACACTCCCTACTTAGCTCTTGTGGGAAAACTAAGCCAGTGGTAACTCACAAGAAACGCACAATGCATACATGGTGGACTTAAACCTCAAACCCAAAAACTTAAGCTAGTAGGACAGAGAACTGTACTCACATGTTACTAGCTCGCCTTACATTTCTTTTATAATTCTATCAAATGCATCAAGTGGATTGGATAAAATAATATTAATATATCTTAGTTTTTTTTCTCATATATATATAAAAGAGGAATTTATTTATACACAAGTTTTATACGTTATATTTATATAAAATCTTAATCATTTCTCTTTTTATTTTCAAT